ACAACCAAGCAAGTTCCAGCCCCAAGATTTTGTTAGTAGATTCCCCGGTCAAGTGCCACCCCAGAATCGCGGTACCAACTCTCACGCAAGTCTGGGCCCCGAGTATAAGGGGGTGAAAATTTTGATGGGAAAGTTGATAACTCGGGAAGAGAAAAGATAGAAAGCTGAAATTTCGAGGTTATATTCCTCGTCCAAGTATAACTCAAGCATTTAAAATTCAGTTATGCATGGTACTCAAGTAAGGACGTATAAAATTTTCTGCAGGAAAATTGCTAACTCAGCAAACCAGAAAAGCTGGAAAGCTGAAATTTCAAGTGGATTTTTCCTGTCCAAGTGCAATTTAAAAATTTCAAATTTAGCCTTCCAGGCGAGTGGAGTAAGCAAGTACGGGCATGTTAAGGTTTTGGCAGGAAAATTGCTAACTCGATAACCAGAAAAGCTGAAAGCTGAAATTCTGAGGGAATGTTCCCTGTCCAAGCACAGCTTAAGTATTTCAAATTCAGCCTTGAGGTATGCGTGGTTCCTACGTACGGGCACTTAAAAGTCGAGAAAAAATTATTCACTGAACAACTAGGTTACTTTTAAGGAACGACAGTTAAATGGAAATTGTACATTTACTTTGCAAAATTTATGGTGATTTATGCTAGTGACCGCAAAAGGTAGGTGTAAAGCACCAGCCGTTCATACAGTTAATGACCTGAGTAATTCAAGTCCGATGCAAAAACGCATGATCGCACGGGTCCGCCCAGCGCGTTCCAGCCTGGGTTCTTTATGCATGATTTAAGGTGATTTATGGCGATGAATACACAAATTATATGCAAAACAACAATCCAGCTTACAAATTAGTTGCTTCAAGTTTAGCGCAAAAACGCATGACAGCACCGGCAAGCTTGGTGCTTTGCGGCGTGAATCTTTTATAGGTAATGCTATGGAGAATAAGCCGATTGATGGAACGAGCGATCTGTTTTGCTATGATTTTGATCAGAGCTGTCGATGGCGTAATCTGGATAGTTTGCTAATTGATGAGCTAGACTGGTTTCGTGGCACTGGATATCTGGACAGCAACCGGCTCAAGGTGAAGTACCGTCGATCTTATAGACAATTTAAGTAAATCGTCAAAAAACAAATTGAGGCATTATTTGACTGTTTACGTAGTGCACTGCATTATTGACCGAACTTTGTGCACCAAAGCTCTAAAGACCCATATATTAATCAGTTCGTAGTGCGATTCCTCAACTACGCAGGTGGCAACTTTTCGGTTGCTTTGATCAGTGCTGCGTTTTAAATGATTCTAATTTTTCCGCTTTTGATAAAAATGTAAATCAGTGGGACTGATTTAAACCAGTCTCATTTGTCTTTAGAAATACGCTATTCAGTCGAAGGGCCTGGTTTAGCTGCGCGTGACCAAGCACATCATGAGACAACTGAAACATTGCTAAATGCTAGTTTCCCCTTCCGCTGATTTTCCTTCAGTAGATGAAATGAACGTCAGAATTGCCTGGAGACTGACCACCAAGCTATGCGGCATTTGTTAAAGCAATCGGAAAAATCGCCCGATGCGTGGCTTGAAAAAAGATGCTGTGAAATACAGCTGATAAAGGCGCCAAAATAAATTCGTAAATCATAAAAAAAGGCGTACAGGTCGCAACGGGATCGCATACAACGCCGGATGGTGCTTACGGAATAGTTGCAACGGATCGAGTGCAGCTAGCTGGTGCTAAAGCAACACTTGTCAGCGATGTGATAACTTGTCAGCTGGGTCCAGGCGAACTCCGATTTATGTAAGCTTTCAAAGAAATTTGTTGTGCGTATTTTAATGTTTTGTCTGCCGAAATTTACTCGCTTCTTCATGCAAAGTTCGCTCTAAGTTTAAAGCCAAGAGATGAAACACAGACAGTGCATCGTAAAATATCTTCTTACACATGGCACTTAAGTCCAGTCCCTCTATTTTACTATTTCTCTTATTCGCTCATATGCTTGTGCCACCGACCAGTAACTCATCTGGGACTTTTCTTGAGAGAGGGATTTTAAAATGCAATAGAAAAGGTATCAGTTTTGTTGAATTTTCGTGCACTTTTCAAAACAGCCGGGCAGGCATGGCGCATGTCAAGCAGAAGGTCGGAGATTCGATTTTGTCGGTGAGACGACCAGTTCTTCTACGATTCGTTCATTCATTTCAGTGGTAAATTGGTAGCGGCACATGCCACAGTGTCAAAGCTACTATCAGCTTGTTTGTAAGCGATTCCCAAAAGGGAGATCCACCGATAGCTTTGACAGTGGATGATTTCTGTTGAAATTTGTTAAAATTCGGTTTACATTTGCATCCTTTCCTTTTACTTCAAAATTATTACATTTTCTTGGTTTGGAACATTATTTCTTTTGTCTTTTTCAATATCACATCAGTGATCTTATATCCGTCTGTTGGCTGGCAACACTGTATTTTTTAGGTACTGGATAAGTCCGGAAGTGCGGCTAACTGTGTGCTTAAAACGTACCAGTCGACCGTATCCTAGTTTTGACCTCTGCACGACTCCGATACGAGGAGGCAGCCCGGGTCCCGCACACATCAACATCGCTGACCTTGAAAGACAGCCTTTTCAGGTACCTTATTCGTTTTATTTCAACGAATTTTTTCACCTATGCTCTTTTTGCTGATTAGAACCGTTTTTTTAGCATAGTTAATCCAGAGCATAAGGGTCAGAGATAATTACATCTACTATGAGTTAAGTAACGGGTGTTTGGCCTCATCAGTCAGTTTGACTCTCAGCTACATAACTGATAACTTTCCTGTTGCTTCGACCAACCAGCACTGCATTATCTGGTAGTCAGTCTGATGGCAATTATGGCATTCGTTTTCTTACCCTGAAAAGATTATCATCTCAACGGTCCCCGTAGTAGATCCATTTTCGTGAGACATTTGGCGTTTCGAGATATCTTTGCCTGTGCTGAACATCAGTACCTTGTCGCGAAGATTACTATTCTTAAACGGCGACGCGGGTGCGTTATCACCTAGGACAGTGAGGCCGAACGCCTGGGACAGTTGTTGATTTCTTTCCGGTCGACTAGATTAAGCAAACGAGAAAATAAGAGAGGAAAAGGGTAAGAAAAACCACGAGTAATTAAGTATTTAAGTAGTCGTAAGTTTGAAGTGAATAAAGGTACAGGAAAAGAAAAGCGCATACAGAAATAATAATATGAATATAGAGAGGGAGGAACTGAAATAAATGTATTATAAATATAGTAAAGAACAGCTGAAACAAATATAGTATTGAATTTTTGCAGATTTTCATCCAAGTGGACAATTTTGTGTTCCGATCAGCCAATCTCGAAGGTGGTTTCGCGATCATTGATAATATTGAATATTACGGCGATCTATGCTCTGATGCAGCAATGCTTCCAAGCGTACATTTTTACCAGATATCATTGATAATTCTTCCCTACAAAATGATCCCCTACAAAATTCTTCAAGACTGGGACTTTTAATCGAAATGATGTTTTATAGCCAAAACGCCGATATCGATTATTTTGCGGGGAAAAGAAAATGCGTTCACAGCGTTGGTTTGGAAAGGGGCAAGGGGGGCACGAAAAATACATTTTAACACTAATAATGGTATTAACTTCACAGCAGTAGTTCTATTTCATTTTCCACGATCCGAAGATTTTGTTGAAACAGAAAGCTTAGCATCTATTTGTTATTATTCAGTTTCAAAATTTTTTTCAAGAATTCCAAGATTGCTAGGGCAGTCGGTTTGGGAATTTTACTGCTCCCAAACACCAGGAGCATTTATGCCAAAGTTGCATATTTCTAAACTCAGCGCCTGCTCGTCGCCTTTGTGAAAGTTGTCAAAATAGTCGTTTACTTTCTTGCGGGTACCACTAGCTTGGGGAGTTGTAGACAGGCAAACAATATGCCCTGCCTATCGGATTTTACTTCTTGACATGGTCACTACGACATCCTGTTGCTTAAAGTGGCCATTCAGAATCACACCATACATCCTTTGCTCCATAGCTTCCATTATCACAGCAAGCGCTCGCTCTTCAAATTTCATCAGTGACTACGTCTCTTGTCCACACATCACTGCTTTTAATTTGGAGGCCAATAAGCATGCATACAATCCTTCTTCACGTTACTCGGAAAACGATTTTACTCATTTTTTGTAAAAGTTCGGTAAATTTTCA